ATCTCCAAAGGAGCTTTGCCTGTTTAGATATGCATTGTGCTGTGTTTCATAATCTCAGTAGTTTGAAGTGTTACTACTGACTGTACTTGTGATACTGAGAAGAACTGTACGAATATTTTTGTGGAACATTCCAGAACTGTAACATGTTTCCTTTTGTAATAATAAATTTTAACAAGCTTTTATTGGTTCTCTTACAAACCTATATGCATACAAACAGAATGCCTTATATGAATAAAATTCTGTTATTTTGCCACAACCTACACAAAAAGGGAGGCATTTAAATATCAAATTATAAATAATACCAAAAAATTTTGATGAACGAATTAAGGAAAGAACTAAATAAGAAAATCATTATTCAGTGGAAGTCTTTAAATTAACTAATGCCTTCCTTGCAGCTAACCAATTTTCAAGACTGAATAATCTCATATTCAAAATTTACATTTAAGATACATTTAAAATCATTAAAATATTCTGCATTATAACAAATGCATATTGATGTTAAAATACATGACAGTCATCATATATCCTTCAGTAATCTAAAAAGCAACAAGTAAGCATTGTAGCCCCCCCAAAAAAAAAACTCAGAATACAGATAGCTATATACAATATAAAGAAGATTTCTGAATACTACTACAAGATAAGGACAAAATATTTTGCTTATCACAAGTACCAAAGCATTAATTATGACAGGCTAACTAATTTGATGTGATGCTTTTCAAGCACTTACAAGAATGTCCTTTTTTTTTTTTTTTTTTTTCAAGAATTAAGAAAGAAAAAGACAATCGTTTTTAGTCTAGATAAAATTCTCCTTCAACAGTGTCAAAATAATAATTTGAAGAAGTAGAGGTTTATGCAACGTATATTTCACGTAAGCTTATTTTCATTACAGAAAAGCAAGTATGAATTCACAAAGTGTAAAATGAAATATAACACATAAATAATACTCATTTGAGTCAAGCAGGCAATCATGCCACTGCAAAATCAGCTTTATTTATTTTTATGACAGAATTAAACATTATTTTTTCTAAGATGAAAAACATTGGGTACTGTCAAACTAATCGCAGGTTCCTTCAAAGCATGCTGAATATTTAGGCCTATCAACTTATGTCCAACATTTGAAATGTCCAAGAGGATTAATTTATTTTGTACCATATTCCTATATCTGAAGTTAAGAACAGGTAATTTATTCAGCACATTCTGATTATCTGTACCTCCATAAAAAAACTCAAAAAATCATTGACAACTTTAAACAGCATTCAAGAACTCATGGGTTACTTACTTCCCAGAGAAATGGGGTTCTTTCCATAATGCAGCAGCCTCGGCAAGACCAAAACATTTTCACCATGCTAATAATTGGCTTATTGGCTAATAATTGGCTTATTTATTATTATTTATATAATAATTGGTTATATATTTTGAAAATAGGCCAGAGCTATTTTCAAAATGGTGGCATACTAAGAACTTTATAAAATAGCAAAATTTTTAAAAAGCTAGAAACATCCTTAATAAAACATTTACCTTTTTTTAGAATTATTACAATCCTGACATTGCACAATGGACAAAACAGATGTGTGCTATGCACATATACGAACTGCCATATAAACACTCTTTGGCAACATCTTCGGTTGCTACATAATTATTTTGGTAGCATATTGCTTTACCTCATGAATACTTTTTCATTAATTTTCTATGGTGGTGTGGATAAGCAGAGAGTACAATTCATGCATAAAAATGATTAAAAAATACTGTGAGCATTGATGCTGAATATTATCTAATGAAAAGATGATGATCTTCAGTATGGGTTACAACACATCAGACCTTAAACAAAAATGTGTGAAAAGTTTTAACTTTCTCTGCTATAACTATGCAAGCTGGATTTGTATCCATGAAGACTATGATGAACTCTTGAGTATTATTAGAGGAATTAAGGAACACTGAGAGTAGAAAATGGCCTGCAAAATATGAAGATAAGGTCATATTTCATGATAAAACAATGCTCCATGTCATTCACTGCTTATGATAGTGCAATTTTTATGGTATAAAAATATAATGATTTGTCCTTATTTACTAAATCTAGCATCATATGACTTGGCTCTTACCCAAGATTAAAATGAACATGAAAGGTAAGAATTTTGAATTGATTAAAGACGTCAAGGCGGTCAGAACAATACCGCTAGATATTCTTGAAAAAGGACTTGTACATACAAGTACTTACACAAGTGACAAGACATTAGGATAAGTATTTTAAGATGAGGTGAGTATTCTAAGAACAACTCATGGTGATATATATTTTACTGTAATACTATTTTTTTATTTCAATATTCTCTATTTTTCGATAAACCTATGTAGAGAGAATGCAAAACAGTTCTGTGTCAGTAGAAGTTTCCTATAATCCTGAAAAAAAAGGGGAGGCATTCTCCTAAGTTACATAAAGCCATCACTTACTGTTTCTCGATATCAACAAATAGTATCAATGCCAAATGACCCTTTTCCAAATTTAAAATCAGAAACAAGAGTAAAAACTAAAATTCACATATGCACAATATAATATATGAACCCTCCATTTATGGTTCTTTTGATTTGAAAAGTATTATCATGTTGGTCTGTTACTATGACTCGTGAAAATTTCAGGCAATGACTTTTTCCCCCCTTTATTTCCATAAGGATAGTGCTCTTTCTCTGTGCATGATAAAACTGTGTTAGTGCTCATTATTTTGACAAAAGATGGCTTTACAGGGTTCTTTTCAATATAGAGAACTTGGGTAAAAGCTTGAATTTGTTCATCAAAATATTCCATGCATGAGCTGCATTTGCCTCTGGGAAATTCACCTTTCATTTTCCTAGCCATATATCACCAAATCCTGGAACTAGAAGACAGTGTGTTCTGTATTGCTCCAACAAGGTTCATAGCCACAGTTTAGTTAAAAAAATAAGCACCTATAAGCACTTTTCAAGCACATTTTAAGGAAAAAATAAGCACCTGTCTAATTACATTATTTACAACTGCATAACCTTAAAAGAAAAATTAGACTTGTAATTTAAAATATGAGCAATGCAATATTTATTAAGAGAATGAGCACTGAAATTTCAGTTCAAAATATAGAAAATAAATAATAATAAGCCATATTAATTGTATCCGTTTGGCACCTAATAATAAATACAATTTATTTTTCCACTCATATTAATATTTAAATAATTTAACTTACATTCTGAACATTTATAAATTTTCATTGCATAACAGTTTTCCCTTAACATATATTCCAAGCAACGAAAATTAGGTAAAAAAAGAGGCACATTTCTGAAATCAGAAGACGGGAAATTGCTTCACGCAGTCATCCTTTAACAGTAAAAGCTTAACTGACCCGCATACTCGGAAATTGCCGAATATTCCGGATAGTAACTGGAAAAAGAGGAGTGGGAGAGATTGTAGCCGTTCTTTAGATTTCTCGGCTAAATAAATGATTTTGACATTTCGATATATGCATCATATAAAAACAGACCAATGGAACTGAGAAACATTCTGCTTAGCAAGCACAGTAAAACTCTTTTAAGTGTTCATAAACAAATCTCGGACTGAACATCAATCAAAATTAATTATCTCTGCAAAATACCGCAAACGTTATTGCGCAATACGTGTGGCGTAATTCTTCCACATGTGATATTACCCAATCAGAATCAACAGCTGGCGGCATTCGGAGAATAAAGAACTAAATAAAAGGAAAGAAAGAGACTTACTAATCTGGGGTGTTTCTGATTCTAATTTTCAACAGACTGCGTTACATTTCCGGAATAGAATCAATCTTCGCTTAGGCTGGGTAGACTGCAAAAACTTTTAGTCCTATTCAATCCAGATTGGACAGTGACAAAAAAAAAAGACCGCTGTTTCAATATTAGAGATTTTGCGGAGAAAGGGGTGAACCTCCCAGCCTCCGTACTGTATAAAGTATTGGCAAAAAAAAAACATTCTTTTGACTATTTGATTATTTTCCTTTTATTTAAGCCATTCCGAATATTATTCCTTAGAAAGCTAATCTGTGTAAAAACACACCCATTTTTGGAAGTTTATCTATACTTCAGCAGTTACTGCAACTATATTATTATAAATATTCATTCATATGCTCATAATATAAGCATAACGATCATAATAAACACGAATATGAACCTACCACGCAGAACGAGAATGCAAATTATTAAAATCTTGATAGAAATTCGAACGTGTGTAGTATTTGGGCGGGAGGAAAAGAATACCGAATGTACTGGAATTTTCTACCGTTTTCGCAATTCTTTGATCAATAGAGCGCGCACCATAGGTTACGTTAATGCAGAGAAAGGAGGAAAAGCAATTTCCGGGAGTATGATTCACCATCTGATGTTGGATATAAGGAAGAAAAGTTGTTTATTTAGTTTCGGCTTTGGTACGGGGAAAAAATGCATGTTCATAAAAAAAAAGCACTAAAAATAAAAAAATAAGGGCTTTAAAGAAAAAGTAAGCACTTATAAGAGCCTTTATATTTTATTTTCAAATATAAGGACTTATAAGCACTTGTAAGGACCGCTACGAACCCTGTTCAAGAAAGAAAAAAAAAATTATAAATATAAAGAGACTCATATTTGGTGTGAAGAGTATGAAGTTGGATTATGTTTGAAGCCCTACTTCAAAGCTTATCATATAAAAAAATTTCACAATAAATAAAAACAGCTGCTTCATTTTTATTATCAATATAAACCATTTTGTAATATTTATAAATAACTAAAACTTTTTGTCATTTTAAATATTTCTCTTTTTTGGCATATATATAATTTAATATGAAGCAAGACTGATTTTTCTTTCTTATAAATTTTATATTTTCTGTTTTACTGCAAAATTTTTGCATTAAATTTGTTACAAATTAAAAATATCATCCATTTTCCATTGGCTGGCTTGTTTATGGGTATGCATCTTTATGAAGTAGTTCCCCTAAAACTTTGTAGATGTATATAAAAATTAACATAATATATACCTCAGCTAATTCTGACAATTCTGCAAGGTCAAACTTTCTTGCTTCAAATAAATCATCCTCATGATTTTCATTATTCTCGTTATACTTTGCCTGATTCCATCTTCTGCGTTTCAAAGTTCCTCTGCAAGGCTCCTTTGTACCTGAAACAAAAAAAGAGAACTCCTTATACAAATGAATTTCAAAATTGGATTCTGCTGGTATTTCACATTCTTGCAAGGAATATTGTATAATTAAAGTAGGATTAGTTTCCTGCAGGAACTTTTCGAGAAAATGCTATCTCTATTTAAATACATGATATAATAAATTAAAATGGACAAAATTTTTTATATTATGCAAATGTACATAATATAAAATTGTATATTACGTAAATAGCATTAATCATCTAGAGGAAATTAACTTCTTTAGCACTTGAATAACAGAAAAGTTTAAAAAAGAACTAAAAATTATTTCTTCCATGGGTGATGGATTAAAAGATTTGTGTCCTTGGTTATAAATATATATATATACTTGAATAAGGAGAAAATAAGAACACTAAGAATTTGTGTGCTTGGATTTCAATCTTGGGTATATACTTGGGTAATTCTTAATCATTTTAATCAGCTCGGATTTTTTTCATGGTTATTATATTAAAACTGCAATTTTATTTTATGACTGCCTATTCACTGATTTTTAATGTCCATTATGTAAATTTTATCAGTGAATATTAATTATCAAGAACAAAAATATATTGAACAATCAGGAAACCTGGAATTTTTCAATTTGGAAAACAATTTCATTTGGAATACACAGTAACAACCTTGTACAAATAGCTGGATTTGTTTGCAAAGAGTGTATGTACTGAAATATACATGCATGATAAAAAAATATGTATAACAAAATTAAGTTTAATCCTAGTATACGGTACACACATGATTTGGTTGCTTTTGGCAACATTATGATGTTCAGTAAATGCAGTGTTTATGATGACCAATAAACGAGTCCTTTTGGTGTTGGCAACTATTTTCAAAATTGTGCCAAGGTTGTATCATATACTAGGATTTTACCCAAAATTATAATTTAAACTAAAGGTAACCCCTTAATTCTCCCTCTCTATTCTAAAAATCATAACTTCACTTGATTGTATCATTGCTAGATCAATCCATCTCGCATGGCTGGCATAATGCTATTACGTAACTAATTCGGAACCTAAACTCATAATTTTGAGAACTGAAACTTTCCTAATCTAAACCAAAACCTTTCTCTTGGTGAGCTTCCATATTGGATAAATGTGCCACTTTTAGCTTCACCCTCTCTACTGCTTGGACATAAATGTACTGTCTTCCTATCATCAAAAACATGTACATGTTCTTGGATAGGCACAATTAGCATGCCAAATGAATTGTGGCCACAAATCTGAATTTAAATAAAAATAGAATTCAACTTGACTTTTCATAAACTTGACTTTTCATTTGACTTGATATAAAGATAAAAGGAAAATAAATTATAATGCAAAACAGAAAAAGACAATATTATTAATGATTATTATAATAATAATATACTCACCTTTTAGTAAAGAATCTTTCTTTTTCCTTTTTAAATTTACTCCACTTTTTGAAGAAATTACAATATCTGAAGATTCACACTTGCTTGATAAATTTTGTTTACATCCAGTTTCTGTTTGCTTATCCTTTTCCAGATATGGTTTAGAAATATTTTCTGTTTGCTTGCCTTTTTTAATATTTGGTTTACACACATTTTTTGCTTGCTTACATTTTTTAAGATGTGGTTTATGTAAACTTTCCACTTGTTTACTTTTTTCTGGATATGGTTTACATATTCTTTCTACTTGTTTATTTTTTGGGGAATGTGGTTTAGGTACACGTACTGCTCGTTTACTTTTTGGGGGGTATGATTTAAATATACTTTCTACTTGCTTGCACTTTTTAACAAGCTTGCCATTATTAGAAACAGAAATTTTGCATGGACTTCTTTTCTTAAAGTGAGACCTCTTTTTTATTTTTTTCTCAAGCACAATATTATTCTCTTCGTGATCTGTTTCTGAAAAGGGAAGGCCCCCATCCTCTGAGTATATTCGTACTTTTCGTGCACTCTTCCGCTTTTGAATATTTATATCTGGAGAGATTTTTCCATTTATATCTTTATCAGCAGAAAAGTTTGAAGAATCGCTCTGCATAGAATTTCTATGCTTCTTCCTTTTTGTGCTATCTACAGACTTGCATACTATTGATGGCTTACTGCTGTCTACATAGTAAGAAGAGTAACGAGATGGAGAGACAAAATGTTGGTAAATTTTTTTGCGATTCCAGTGTGCTGCTTTCGAACTATCAGTGAAAGAATTACTACAGCCAAAACATTTGTGTAGAAAAGTTATAGTGAAGCCCTGCATAAATTTTTCACGATCCCTCACGATTCCCATAGCAGTGGTTAAATGTGAAACTGTATAATCCTAATATACACTAAGCATTTTTTAAAATAAATTGGCGTAAAAGAAATCCTTCTAAAAACTTTACATAAATATTTAAGGAAATGCTTTAGGACTTCATACTTCGAAGCATAGTTCTTTCTTTTACAAATTTTTACAAGACCTAAAAAATTGTAAGAAAGAAAAAGAAAATCATTAATATAAAAGTATATACTGCAATAATATTCAGTATATTTATATAATAAAGTAAATAATATTCAATATTGCTATACTAGCTCTTCTAATAAAATAACTGACATATAAGATCAACCTGTATATTTAAAGGTGGTTTACTATGAATAAAAATGGGCTTGTATTAATTAAAGCTAAATATTTTACATTTGGTCAAGTAGTAACAGAATGTTTTGTCAAATGTAACAGGCTGAATGATATTTTGTCAAATGCTAACAGGTTGAATGAAATGAAATGATGCATTTAAAGTGAATCAACTCAAAATTTTGTTTTCAGATCAATAGTCCTTTTGGGCTAAAAATAAAAATATTTTAATAATCAAAATATCTTAAGGAGTATATTACATATAAATATTTTTACATATAGCATTTACGTTTAGGCACACTATTTTCACTGAAAGAAAATATTTATAAACAGAGTTATTCATAATTCTGTAAAACATTTTTAATATTCATACAAATTACCTACACAACTGATGCAAAAATTTATTATGCTGCAAGCTCGCTAAGTTTTTCAGATTCATTTAGAAGATTCCTGCATATAGGTATATAAAAAATAACTTCATTTAAGTAAAAAAAAAGGAACACAACCAAAAAAAATATTTTAAAGAAAATTTCACCTCCCATTATACAATTGGAGGAAAATACTGTTATGAATTTTGTACATCTACAGAAATTTTTTTGTGAAATTATATGTGAAATTGTTGCAGTTTTCTGTATAGTGTAACATGAAAATCTAGAGAGAGAACTCTCTGCGAGTAAAATAAAAATATGGGGGCAAGTCTTAACATTGAGTGAATGGCTATCTCGCTAATTTGGTGAGGTATTGCCAAGCTGACAACAGGTTTAGCAACTAATTTTTGTCACCAAATTTGGGTAATAGTTGCGAAACTTAGCAACATTTTTATCCAGCCCTTGTATGACCATACTAAGTATTCTAACTGAATGCAAGTAATTGATTTTAGATGCTCTGTAACCATATTCGACCCTCATATGCTTTCCAGTAATTTCAAGAAACAAAGTTCTAGAAATACCTCAGCAACCAGACGAAAACTATATAATCCTGGAGAGAGCAGCTGCTGTCAGTTATAAGCCTGGAGAGAGCAGCTGCTGTCAGTTATTCTTATGAGTTGTTAATTCAGAGTGATTTCAAAGTATTGAGATACCCATGAAAGCTTCATCTTTTGGATGTGTTCTATTTAAAATTCTTAGTAGTCTGAAGTGTAACTACTGATCATACATGGTCATACTGTGAACACTTGTACTAGTATTTCTGTAGAAAGTTCCAGAACTCTGAAGTGTTACTTTTGACAAAATAAATTTTATTAACCTATCGTTAGACCTGTGTGCATTCAATCTATTACAAACCTGTACACACGCAGCAATTTTGGGTGTCAGAAGTGGGGTTGAATGCCAGTGACAACAACGATGGATGAGCGATTGCCTTAATTGAAGAAAAGATGAAAAAGAGGCAAAAAAGATGAAAGCTGGCCAAGATTTCATTAAAGAAGCGACGAAAGCTATTCAAGGAAGATGGAAGCTGGTCAAGAATCCATTAAAGAAGATATGAAAGCTGTTCAAGAAAGATTAAAGTGTGTCAAGAGGACAGAAGTTATCTGAATAATAGAAAACAAATCTGAGGCTATGGAAGGCAGAATAGACACGTTTAAAAATAGGGTTGGAGATAATGAACAAAGAGTTTCTTCCCTCAACAAACGAATCAGGGAGAGAATTTCTACCATTGCCAAACCAGTTCACACCTAAAAAAACGCAGAGTGACAGAAAGAAGCAATACTTATAGTTTTAAATTTTTATCCTTATTTTCTCACCCCTCTCTAAGGTGTTTTCTTTATACGTGGATAGCTAAAGCTATTGACATATAATGAAAACACCTCATGGCCAGGGCTGATCCTAGCAGGTGTGCAGTGCGTGCACCACACACGAGCGGCCAAAACAATGCTCAATAAAGCAAAATATTTTTATGAATTTCTCAAAATATATAGCAAGTCAAAAAAATATGCTGAATTTTAAATAGTTATTGAAAAATCAAAATAAGTCCCAATTTCCTGATAGCATAGCTTAGTTTAGGAAAAATCAAATGTTAGTACACAGTTTATTGCTCCACTGTCCATTAATGTCTATTCTTTACATACATTATTCATTTGATAGGAAAATTCGTGGCAAAGCCAGCAATAGCACAACAGAAAAGGTTTTTCTGCTTATCAGTGGCATTGGCGACGCACTGTGGATCGGCATCTCAAAAATGATTTTTGCAAAAGTTGCTTTACGAAAATATCTAATCTGATTAATCTTACCTAAGACATAGGAGTGTTTAAATTCAATATGCATTTGGGGAAATTAAGAGTTTTTGATTTAATAATACAATTTAGAAAAACAAAATAGAGGAAAGAAGTGATTTTTGTGTCTATGGTTTAGTGTGTTAGCCCCTTACCGTGTCACCGTATTTACTATTTTCTCTACGTTAGCGGGATTTATCTATCTGATGGTACTTCATAATACCTCACATATGCATCACATTTAAGATTGAATTAAATGAAGCCATGTTGAACTGTCACCAAATATTTAACCCGATACATTGATTTATAAATTAAGTAACAAAATTGTCTATTATTGGCTATTTTGGTATACCGTTAGATCATTCTTTTATTTTATTTGTTACACTTAGAATTTCAGATATATTTATTCATACAACAGGTTTAAATACTTTTACAAAAATAATTTTAAAATCCCTCCCAGATATGCAGGAAATAAATCTGTTTATATAGAATTTTTTTTTTTTTTTTTATCAATTCAACATATTTCAGATACACTCTTTGGTGTTTAGGTTCAAAAATTTGCTTTCCAGATTTAACACTAATTTGAAATAAAAATTAATTTCTAATAAAAAATTATTCAAAATTATATGTATGGTCTTATTATTTTTACCTTTCCATGTATACTAAAAATAAAGTGACCATTTATTAAACTATGAAAGATGACTTTAAATTAACCTAGAAGAGTTACGAAAACAGTACTTGTGAATTTCAAATAGTTTTTTTATGAAAGATTTTCAGTCTAAATATTACACTAACGCACTCTTAATATTACCAGCTATAATGTGTTTCAATGTTTGCCAGAAAATACAGTCATTAACAGGAAATAAAGGTTTTACCACATAAACACCTATGTTCTTTGATAAAAAAAAAAAAATCTCACTATATACTGTACATATATCGCGACACATATCGAATTTTTGATTTCTAGATATTAGATAATTTCAGTAATTAATTTCTGTAAAACCAAACCCTCTATATATAAAATATAAAATATCCTTTTTAGATAGCTTATATATTCGAGAATATGTGTACCAAATTTAGTACAATTTTTAGCCAGTTAAAATTTAGCATTCAGAGGAAATAAAACGAAATTGTTTCATAGAGATAATGGTAATTTTTTAAAGGCAGTGGAGATGTTGGCCAAATTTGATCCAGTTATTTCAGAACACCTCAATAATGTCAGTAAATGCAAAGATAACAAAAAACATATTACACACTACCTAGGGCAGCATTTTCAAAATCAAATAATTAATATTTTAGCCAAATCTATTCGTAATGAGATAGCACACAATGTAAAAAAAAGCCAAATATTATACTATAATTCTTGACTCTACAGCAGATATTAGTCACAAAGAACAAATTACATTTTTAATTACATGTGTGAACCCTACTGATGGTTAGATACATATTTTAGAATTTTTTCAAGGATTTTTTCCAGTAACTAATACCAGTGGAGAAGATCTGTGCAATCAGAAGCTATTGCCTAGTTTGTAGATCGAAGTTAAAAATATATGGAGTCAGGGCTACGCGCAATGGATTGAATATGAAGGGGAAAAATAAAGGGCTTCAGAAACAGATTCTCGAAATCAATCCTAGAGAATTATATGTGCTGTGTGTGGCTTATACATGAAATCTCATTGTTAATGACACTGCCAACTCCAGTGGTGAAATTTCTGGTTTTACTGATATGGTACAAGAGGTGTATAATTACTTTTCCTGCATCCCCATATTGATGGGGTATATCCCCCCCCCCAAAAAAAAATGAAAAGTCTAACATTAAAACTGTTAAGTGAAGAAAGGTGGGAAAGTCATATCAACTATATTAAACCTTTAAACCAAGATCTACAAAACATAATTACCACATTAAAAGCCTTAATTGAAGATACGACTAGAGACACAAAAACAAAAATGGGTGTTGAATCAAAAATTAAATGTCTTGAAGCATTTAAATTTCTGTGCTCAATTTCAATTTGGCATGATTTTGTTGAGATATTTGTAATTGCATTCTTATTGGTTAAAAAGTATACCTTTAGTAGTAGCCTATACAAAAAATTAATTGGATCTTTACTTTACTTAGCATATATTACAAGGCCAGATATTTTATTTGCAGTGAACTGCTTAAGCCAACTGCAGGAGCATCCTACTGACGTTGCCTTGGTGTGCTCTAAAGAGAATTCTTAGGTACTTGAAAAACACCCTTAATTTAAAATTGATATACAAAAAGGGTGATTTGGAAAAGGCAAACTTATGTTTGCATGTAGATGCAGAAAGGGGATGCAGACTGGGGGGGGGGAAGATACTCATGGTAGGAAATCAATTACTGGTTACTTTATAATGTTTTCAAACTGTCCTATTATGTGGTGCTGTAACAAGCAAAAGTGTATTGCACTTTCATCAACAGAAGCTAAAATAATTGCTTTATGCAAAGGTGTTCAAGATGTTTTTATGGATAAAAAATGTAGTAAATGAAATTTCCAAGGTTAAAAATGTTTATATTTTTGAAGATAAGCAGTCATGTATTAAAAGTATTGTTAATGAAAACTTTTCAGGTAGGCTGAGACATATAGATATAAAATTAAAGTTCACTCTTAGGACTGTTAAAGAAAATAATATTAAAATTGAATATGTACAATCAAGTTTACAAATTGCAGATATGTTAACTAAGACTCTGTCCAAAACGAGATTCTATGAACAATAGTCATTGAGCTGTTTAAAAAATTGTGTAATTCTTTTATATTTTCTATAATATGCAATTAAGGGGGAGTGTTGAGATATTTGTAATCGCATTCTTACTGATTACTGGACTTGTTTCATTTTAAACAATATTAGTGGCATTAAGTTTGAGGCAAGATGGGTAGATATTTGAGTTCTCTATTTTGTTGAAGTTGTTAAAAACAATAACATCATCTATATAACAAAAGATGTGCTGGAAGTATTTGTAATCTTCAATTTTAAGTGATTTCATAAATTTATATTCTTGGGTAAACAGAAATATTTCGCAAATTGCTATTGAAAAATTTCTGCCCATTGACAAACCTTGTACTTGCTTAAAGATGCTGTTATTAAATTTAATTGTTAATAAGTACACTTTTTAAGAACAGTTGCCAATTTTCAGTAGAAATAATAGTATTGATCTGAGGAAATAAATTAGGGAGAGTAAGTAAACTATTATAAATTTCTTCAAGAGGTAAAGTAGTGTAAAGGTTTTCAAAATCATATCATTGAATATGCTCTATTTCAAGTGAGTTTACACACATATTTTAAGAGGATTGTAAAGCTGTATAAAATTTTTGTAGCTATTATGATAATTTCATGAATTATTTTTATTTGTATCCTCGCTACAATTTAAAACTAATTATTGATAGACAATATATTTTATTTTAAATAAAATGTTGATGTCACAAGTTTAAATTAAAAAGCTCTTTATAATCCTTGGAGGGGGGGTCTTTTTATAATTTTTGTGGATGTTAAAATAATGAATTTGTTTTTAAAAGACATAGTGAAAATATTTCACTATGTTCTTAGACCATCATGAGAATAAATGGTCACTTTTTCTTTCAAACTGATTCATTACTTGTAAATTACTAAATGATTAAAATTTTTAATAGTGAGAGATGCACGAGTTTTAAAATTCGAATGTGATCATTTGACATATAACTAATGAGACTTACTAATATGAATAAATTATAGAAATATCAGTAGATTTCAAACTTTGCTTTTTAACTGAAATGATATCTGCCTACAAAATACTTTTATACATAATTTATTACTGTATAATTTATTTTTAGGTACTAAGATTTTTTTGCAAGGTAATACTAAGTTATGACTATTATTGTATTAAAGTGTAACAATATTACAAGATTAAGGTTTCTCCATGAATGATTAGTATTAAAAATGCTATTAGTATTAAAATTTTTAATCTATTGGTATTAAAAAATAATAATTGTTTCATCTGCAATTTTTTTAATTAAAGAATTAACTGCTTATAGCATAGTTTATCAATTTTATATAGTAAAAGAGATGCTGTTTGTTATTACAATTTTCAGTTATACTGTTAGATGCATCGGGTTTTAACAAAAGTTTCCCACCACCGCAAATATAATTTGCGCAAACAGTTCGCATTGCAGTGTTTACTCATATTTTGTCAAAAGATGTTTGGCATATGAAAGAAAGAGACTTCTTTTAGAACACTGTGTATAAATTGAATGAAAAAGTGATTTAAATTCTATATTAGTATTATATCAAAAAGTTTAATAAACATAATACTACAGGCATAAACTTTACTGTGTTATAACCGTAATAGCATAAGGAAAGTCACTTAGGTGAAAAATGAAAATTTACTTTGATATACATAATCTATAAAAGGTGCATGCCCCTTGCCATGATTCTAAGTTATCAGAACTTTCCCTTCCACATGAACAATTTCGATTACTGGGACAATTTTATTTTTATTTATTTATTTATTTATTGTGAACATACAATGCAATATATCATTTTGTTCTAGAAGAAAAGTCATTAAACAATTTTACATCTGATACATAAATAAAAGTCCTTTTTTTCTATTTTCAGGCCCTAGGAGCTTCTTTTTAATTTCTTCATAAATAACGTAGTAATATAAAATTTTGTTCAGGAAGAATACCTCTTTACTTGAGGTAAAGTGCTGATACATCTTGAAGCACTTTTTTCCTATTGGTGGGCCCCCTAAGCTCATAAATAGAAAAAGAAGAATACTGCCATGTAGAAAATGTGGTCAAGTAATTAAATATGAAAGAAGAAAAAATGGAGATGCTAGAGGAAGGGGGACAGTCCATCCTTCAGATTTGTGAGGGGAGCCCAGTCGATATAATGGTCAGAGAAGCTGACTGCGATGTCGAAAGGCCTGGGTTCGAATCCTGGAGAAGGCATGGTTGTAACTGTCCCTCCCTTCATAGGAAAGGCGATGGTGGCCCACCTATTAGGTGCCTCCATAATAAAGAGACCACCACATACGGCCTTGTATAGATTAATGGACTTAATTGTTCACAATGTGCCATTGGGGAAAAAAAAAAAGATAAAAGATTGCAGAACATTTTTAAAGATAAACGTTAACCTGTTAGCTAAGAGATAAAATTTTCTGGGGACTTTTTTTTTTTTCAGTAATAAGTAACGTTACCACACCTCAATTAATGAAAGAAAATTGTTTTTAACTTATCGATTTTTCAAGTATTTTCAACGTTCAAAGAATTAACTTTCAGTACGATACTTCTTGAAACATTGTGGCATACTTTTAAACAAATAACTTTTAGCCATATTTTGAAGAAAATAACAGCTACTGAAATCTTCAATACTGAAATGCAGACTAAAATGAAACCAAACTGTGCAAATTCAATTCACAATGCATAAGCGGATAAGTGTGTGCACCAACTGGTTGCTTGCGAATAGTGCTTAAATACCAAATAGTGCTCAAATGCCATATTGCAAAAACTAGTTTGCACATACTTTGTAGGATTCAAAAGGCCCCAAACCGAGTCTCTAACATGTTTTTTTTTTTTTCAATAGTGCGACTACGAGAATGCTTTTGTGTTACTACGTTCTCTCCCTTTTCTAAAAGTGATTTGTCCCAAATCACGTGGTCGAAAGCTTGCGGCGACAGCGTTTTTTGTAGGCAGGTGGCATTTAGTAACCGGCAATAGAAAGAAATGCCATCAGTTGAGCAGAGAATCAATATCAAATTTTGTGTTCACTTGGAAAAGACTGCTACGGAGACTTTTGAAATGTTGAAGCATGTGTACGGAAGTGAAACGTTAGTAAAACACAAGCTTTTGAGTGGCATTGTTGTTTCAGAGAAGGCAGGGAAAGTGGTGAAGATGACAAATGCTGTGGCCGTCCTGTGATTTTGCACACTGATGAAAACATCAAAAAGGTGTCTATGGCAGTACGTGCGAACAGGCAGCAAACAATCTGCAAAATAACAAAATCAGTTGGGCTATCAGAGGCCACATGTCGGCAGATACTGACTAATGATCTTAACATGCAAAAGGTGTGTCAACACATAGTTCACCACGTTACATGTAGACCATAAGGGAATTCGAATGGAAATGGAGGGAGACTTTGTAGAGTCATTAGGTTAATTGGAAGCAGAAAAGATGAAAAATATGCAACCGCCTTCGCTGGGAATCAAACCACAGACCTCTGAAAATACCGGCCCAGCATGCTACCATTACACCACAAAGGCACGCTAGGGAAGTGGGAGAAGTACCTTATATACTCCCCTTTTTAAAGGGCGACTAGGGTTTTAGGGGATTTATTCGCCAAATCCTGGGTGCGGAGAATCATCATCCACAACTATTTTAGTTTGGGCGCCACTTGTAGAGTCATTGGGATTTTTTTTTAAGCAGAAAAGATAAAAAATATGCAACCGCCTTCACCGGGAAGCGAACCACGGACCTCTGGAAATACTGGCCCAGCATGCTACAGTTACACCACGAAGGCATGCTAGGGAAGTGGGAGAAGTACCTTATAACTTAATCTCGGCTGTTGACAAAGATCCTTCTCTACATGGCAGAATTGCTATCGGAGACAAGAAACGGTGTTTTTTGTACAACCCACAAACCAAGAAAGCATCGGCAACACGGAAACACCACAATCTCCACGGAAGCAGAAATTCCGCCAAGATCGCTCTAAAAAGGAAAGGTCATGCTAGAGACATTCTTCAATATCCAGGGCATTGTGCATCTGGAATTTATCTCTGAAGAATGCACTCTAAATAAAGAACTCTATGTCGAAATCCTGCATCATATGTGCAAGTCAATCTGGAACAAGAGACCAAAAATGTGGGCTGAGCAGTCATGGGTGCTATTGCATGACAACGGTCCTGCTCACCAATCCTTACTTGTCAACGACTTTCTTATGAAAATAAATGTTCTGCCTCATCCTCCTTACTCACCTGCTCTTGAACCCTGCAATTTCTTCCTATTTCCTGAACTGGCAAGACACTTGCAGGGTCGTTGATTTCAGTCTTCAGATGAAGTTAAATATGCATCGCAGGCTGAATTAAACGTCATGGCCAAAAATGGATTCCAGACATGCTTTGATGAACTTTACAGGCACTGGCAAAAGTGCGTTGTTGCACAAGGATCTTATTCTGAAGGAGGATATGTTTCTGCAATTTAATTCATATTTTTAACATAATAGATTCAGTCCGGAAACTTTTGAATCCTACTTCGCATACATGACTTGTCAACAATAGGATGCCATATAACCACACTACGATTAAATACAGTACAAAGTCCGTAATCCGGACTCATCGGGACTTCGGTGATTCCCAATTAGGGGGTTTTCCGGATTATAGATCATCATTTTAAATCTGGTAAGATGGCATGCAGAAATTATATGATTAAAAATATGAAACCATAATTTATGAAATAAACAGCAATTATGATCTAAATGGTATCAAAATTTACAAAAAAAAAAAAAAAAGCTTAATATTTATTTGTTTACTTTATTAAAAATTTTTTCCAATGTAAGTTGTTTAAGTTGCTTTGTTTTTTGTGCTAATACTTTCTCTTTAATTCTATAAACAGACATAATTTCTTGTTCAGTTACAAAGTTCCACTGTTCAAGTCCGGTAATTGCTGTGTCGAGAATACCGACTAACTTGTCAATCAAAATTTTTTCATTTTCAATAACCTCTCTGTCACTTTCTTCACTATCAGAAGCGGTATTTTCTGGATCTAGAACCATACTACAGATTTCACCGTCCATTATTTGATTGATGATGTGGTCATCATCATTGCAATGAAAAACTTCTGTTATACCATCTTCATTTATTACTGCTTCTCCACATTTCTTTACAAAATCCAATAACTGGAAAATTTCACCTTTAGTTTTTGATATCCGAAAACCTTCAAATTCGCGCCTATCATCTTCGTCGTCCTCACCATGAAATATGGTAGCTGGCCATAAATCAGCCAAGCATTTTTTAACGTATCTGGAGAGATATCCTCCCACAACACACAGAAGATTTTATGCTAAAAAATTTCAAGAAGTCTTGAATAGTCTTGCCATTGTTCAAGAAATTTAACATATTTTAAGAATGCAACTTTATACTTGCATTTCAGCGTGTGCACTATTCTCATATCCATAGGCTGAAAGCTAGACGTACAATTTGGAGGGAAGAATCATACGGATACATTATCTTTCACTAAAACTTTAAGTGAAGTATGCGCCGAACAGTTGTCAACAATCAGGACTATTTTTGAGTCATCAGGTAAACCAACCGAATTCAAATGTCGCCGAGCCTCGGGTATAAAATATTTTTCAAACCAATCATTCATCAATGATTGTGTCATCCATGCTCTTTTATTTGCTCTTTTATTGTTATTTGAAAAATAACGGGGGAAATCGTTACTCCTTTAAATGCTCGAGGTTGTGCATGCTTTCTGATTACGAAAAGTTTGCACTTGTGCGTTCCTGCAGCATTTGCGCAGGCTAAAATTGTTAGTCTCTGACACTGTATCTTTGACACCAGTTGCTGCCTTTTCTGTAGAGGTTGCCAAGGTATTTCGCGGTACATGTTGCCAAAAAAGAACAGTTTCATCAGCATTGTAAATTTTTTCTGGAGATAATTGTTCACAAGTAATGAGTTCAATGACTTCATCTGTAAATTGTTCAGCAGCTTTAGTATCAGCTAAAGCTTTTTCATCTGAAATTTTTAATTGTCTTATACCATGGCAATTTTTAAATTTGGTTAACCAACCTGTCGAATATTTGCACTCAGTGTTTAAGTTAATTTCTTCATGAAATATTTTGGCTTGAGCCATTAGCATTGGATCTGTCAATGGCACGCTCGCTGCGACGCCGTCTGACCCCTTCAATCATCACTTTCTCATGATCATCACTTTTAGCATAAAGAACCCTTTTTTCTGTTATTCATTGCAAGTGGGGTGTCGGAATCCACAAAAAATTCAAAAAGTTCCTTTTTCTTTTTGCTTATATCATATACAGTTGACTTTTCAATGTCATACTCCTCGCATAATTCAGAGACGGATATGCCTTTACCCATTTTTTGCAGCCATTCGACTTTTTCTTTGATGGACATTGAAACATGCTTTCACTTTGTATATCCTTTGGTAGCTCCACAATTGGAAACTCTTTTTGACATAATCGAAAGTTCAAGCTTAATTGTTATAAAATTGCTCTAACAGTCCGCAAAAAATAAGCTGGATCCAATTAGAAGATTAAGGAACAGCGCAATCTGCATACATTAACTGAAATGCCTTAGAATCAGTAAAGATAATTTTAGCCTAGCTTACACCGTTATACATTAAATGCGCATGCATAAAAAGCATACAAAGAAAAAGTTTGTGGCTTTGAGGTCTGGATTATATATCATTCCAGATAATGGACGTCCAGATTACAAACTTTGTACTGTATATAAGAACTACACGAAATGTAATGCATTCCACATAATATGGTTGATTTTAGTGACAAAAAATACTGCCATACCCAATTAACAGGTTAATAATACTGAAAAATACATCAATGGTGCAATTTCTGGTTAAATACACAGTAATTACATATTAAATCATTAAATTATATATAGTGTGGTCATAAAAACACTCCCGACATATAAACCCCTAGTGGCCTATCCACACAACCAATTTATTGTTCACTTGGACTGAATAATGGTTAGCAGAGCCTGACTGTAAGTCTGAATTGTGGGATGAAGGTTGGTTAGTTAAGTGGATTTTCAACATCTTGTGAGCATAATATCAAGCTAACCCCTAGTGGTATACCCTGCATAGCGTTCTCAGTAATTAAATGCATAAATGACTGATCTGCTTGGCTATTCATAAGTAAACATCTGGCTAACATTCATAAGTTGTACACATTTGGTTAGTTTGAAAAAAAAAAAAAAAAGAAAGAAAGAAAGAAACTTAGCTTTAAACCTCTATATCATGCCTTGTTATTATGGACTTAATTACCTTACACATGTTTAGTTGTTTCAAATTTATTTTAATTTATTCATTTAAATTTTTACGTTAATTTCTTATTTGCTTAATATTTTTCACTTAATTTATTAATATTTTTAATCCCTTTATATTTTATTTAATTATTATTTATTGTTTTATCCATTACTTTATTAATTAACTTTTGCTCCCATTCTTTATGGCATTCTATAGAATTAACAGCATTTCTAATTTTTTAAATTAAGCCTTTGAATGAGCAAGTTTACAGATTTTCAAACCAGCAATAAAGCATAGATATAGTTAATAAATTAAGCAAATGAAAATTTTTGTTAAACTTTACCAAAATGCAATGAAACATGCAATAAAATATCAAATCAATTTATAAATTATATAGATGCCTTCATGAAAGAAGAGCTTGCCTAAGAGGCCTTGATTGGTCTGCTAATTCTGCAAATAGGTAAAATTACATAAAATTTGTAAATTTAAGTATGAGTAAAAAACATAAGCACAGTTTAGCGGGGATATGTCTTACTCCTCAGAATGACTTGAAAAAACATATGAACACCATATAAGGGAAATGATTTTTCAGTTCATTTCAATGAAAAAGCACATACTTACGTGAAGGAAACAATAAAAATTCACCCCTCCCCCAAACAGAGCTTGTGTCAAAAATCGTGAAATAAAGTTCCTGTACTGTCCGACTACAATATGTCTAATGAGAATACACTAATTTGAATACAGTAATATACCGAAAATCCGCCGACCTGAAATCCGTGTTGCCTTTCAGAATATAAACATTCAGTTTATAGGTTCCGGAAACCGCAACATTCAGTACAAAATATCGAAGAAAAAATACTTACCAAATAATAATGAGTCATAATGGAAAAGACAAATTATTGACATTAAAAAAAGTTTAAAAAATAAGATAAAAGTTTTTCCCTCTAATCTCTGCATCAAGATAAAAAAGCAGACGATTCACTCAACTCTTCATTCAAGTTCATGATTCACGTTGTGGTATTTTCTAAGCTTTCTTATTTCACAAGATTGTTTACTGCTGCCTTTTTTATATCCTGATATTTCGTGAATAAATTAAGAATATTTTAAATTTCAGCCCTTTTTAATACAATGACAGATAAGAAACGCGCTCATGATTTTACTGCTTGCAATGTTGAAAAACATAAACACGTTGCATTGACGGTAATGCAAAAAGTGCAAATTCTGCAAAAGATGGAGGCAGGTGCTACTCCTCGATTTATAGCAGAACGGTATGGAATTGCGACACGATTGTGTATGATATACAGAAAAATAAAGAAAAGCTGTTGAAATTTTATAGCAACAGTGATTCTAACACCGGAAATCTTTGCATGAGGCGAAATCGGCACACCTCAATGCTGTGTACATATAATACAATGAATAATATAATCAATTTATATATGTTTAATGCATATAAATTATTGCAATAATGCATATAATTTAATTAAATGCATCTAATACGGCTTATTTATTTTGCACTTTTAGTCCGAATATTATGCGTTATCTTTTCTGTCCTGAAATCTGCAAAATCCTAAAATCCGCACAACCTCTGGTCCCAAGCTTTGTGGATTTCTGGACTTCTACTGTAATAATTTACATGCATTCTGAATGAAAAGGGATTTTCTTCTTCTAATTTCAGTTTTCCTGAAATTTTATTAAATACACTTCCCACTAGTCTTATGAATTATTTTAGTTAAATGTCCACTACTTTTCTCTTCAGATTGAAAGTAAACTTGTATGTAAATTTTGGCATTAAGCCAATTCCTTTTAAAATGTTCCTGCTAAATATCTGAAAATTTAGTGTTGTAAACATTTATGACTTTAACTTAACTTATGGTGCCGAACAAAACTAACTAAAAAATCAAATAAATCAAAACAAATCTAATTCATAATATATCAAAAGATCGATCGAATAAACAATCGTATATCATATCTACAATCAATCATATAGTGGTATTGGTTTAGTACAATAGGGCACGTTGTGAAGCCCACTAGGGAAAAATCAAT